ATAAGTATAAATTAGATGGGAATAACCTTTACAGTGTTATGAAGGAAAGGGATCTTGGTGTAATAGCTGATCAGACTCTAAAGCCATCCAAGCAGTGTGTTGTTGCTAGTGGTAGGGCAAATAGGATTTTAGGTTGTGTTTACAGAAATGTTGAATACAAGTTTAAAGAGGTTATAATTTCATTGCATAGGTAACTGGTGAGACCGCATTTCAAATATTGTGTTCAGTTTTGGGCTCCTTACCTTGGAAAGACATTGAATTGTTGATAAGGGTTCAGAGAAGGGATACTAGAATGGTGCCTGATACTAGAAAGGAGGGGTTGTCATACAAGGAGAGGTTGAACTCTTTCAAATTGTTTTATCTTGAAAAAAGAAGAGTTAGGGGGGATCTGATTGAGTTGTTTAAGGTTTTAAAGGGAATTGATTGAGTTGATGCATCATCTTTTTTCATACTGAACAGTAAGAATAGTAGGATTAGGGGACACAAATATAAATTTTGACAGGGTAGGAGTCATCTTCAGTTAAGACAGTTATATTTTTCTAACAGAGTGGTTGGAATGGGTTGCCTTTGGATGTTGTGGAGGCAGTAAACTTAAGTGAGTTTAAGAGAAAGCTTGATAAGTATATCAATGATAAGGGCTGGCTTTAAGATTTTATTTTTTTAATTTATTTATTAATAGTTTTAGTTTAGTTTAGAGGATAGAACTAATAGGTCCCATGTTGTCCCAAAACGTTATGTTAAATTAATGGAAGTTGCAATCTTCCTTAAAGAAATAACACATGCCTTAATGTTGCAGAAAAGTGTCAACAAAAATACAAGAAATAATTAATTCAGAGTTGTAGTGGATAAAGATATTAAAATTCACCATATGCATACATATACATATATACACACACACACACATACAAGAAAAATATAAGAACTCTTAATTTAATGATGATACAGCTAAGACTAAGAATATGATCACTAATTATCCATAGCTTACACTAATCTACAGCTTTGGTTTGTTATAATACAGTTGGTTTGGATATTATAATTGATCTGTCCAAGTTTAGTAATTCAACTTTAATGCAATTTTCTGAGATAATATTTTGATATTTCAATGGAAAAATATAAACTTTTTGCTAGGTTGGTAGTTAAAAATAATACAAATATTATATAAGTTTAATGACTTTTCAGAATCAATTCAACAGTGACTAAGAAGAAATCAACATTATTTCCTTTTCCCATTTCTTTTTAAACAAATAATAAAAAGCTATATTCAAAACATCTTAAATACATGTTATTATAAAAAGGTGAAAATTACAAACCTTTGATATCACTAGGATCAATTTCCAAAGTATCCAAGTTTGTTACAACTTTACTGATGCACTGCTCTACTGTATTAAAGATATGTTTAGGATCCTGTTCCACCCACCTAAGAAATCATAAGATTAACATTTTATATCATAAACACTGTAGTAATTAATATAACATGTCTAAAATGCAATAGTATGGCTTTGTCCTAATTTATTATTTTGATGTTTTTAATGTATTGGTTTAAACAATGATTAAAAATTACTCTGCCAATCAGAATTACATAACTAGCAATCATAATAGTGTTCTTGTAATAACAATCACAATAAAATCTCCAAATGTTTTATAAGTATTGTTTAAAACTAAATAGTTAATTCCACTTAACACAATTTCATGTTCTACAAATTTCATATAAATTGTAAAGATACTTAAAATATAATCCTAGAACATAAAAATACAATATATTGAAGTAGGGCATTTCCATTTTTCAACATTTTCAGCTTTACACATATCTCTAATATTTCCAAATTTATTCACACATTCTTATTACTGATGGTACTGCATTTGTGTACCATCTGAATGAAAAAAATTTAATTTGGAGTTAAGAAAAGATATCACAGCTTAAACTTTAAGATTTAATACAAAGTAAAAACTACTGTAGATCACACTCATGCTCTTCCAAAACCTCAGATTTATATTAATTAACAAGATGCACATAAATTAATCATATTTTTTAATAATTTTCAAACATCACCAGGTAAACTTTTCCTTTAGTTTTATAATTCTTAAAAGAACAAACATACAAAACAAAAGTCTGCATCCTTCAAAAGCTTAAATCTATTTATCCTTAATAGTTAAGTTTATAGTTCTAATTTTCATTAAACTATTCAAACAGACAATCCCACAGGAAAACTGTCTAAAACTCTAACAATTTTGATCACCTGAGACATGTCTCTCTTAAAATTTCTGTGCAATAAAGAACTTTATGCCTCTCTTGATATCTTAAAGGACTTAACCAGGCATTATTCCAGTAGCCATTTCTGTACTCTTCTCAACATGTTGGTTTCCTTCTTGTTAAAAAAGGGATCAGACCTGAACATAGTACCCCAAATGAGAACGCGGTCATCTTGCACAAAGCAATAATAATTTTTTCTTAAATGCAAATTTCCTGTATGCAGAAGCATAATTGGTCATTTCACTATAGCTAAACATTTGGCTGAGGGAGTAAGGATTTTATCCTCAGTGAAACCTAAATTTATTTATTTTCACAACACCAATGCTTCTTACACACACAGTGTCCTTTCTAAATTTTGATACCCCAAGCGAGTAACTTTACACTACTCAATATTAAAACAACTTCAATTTTGCAACCCATTCACTATGCTCATAAAGGTCATTTTGGATAAGGAATTTTTAAAAGAATCAGCTTTTTCCAATTATGCCAATCTCTTCCACTATTGGATGGATTCTTAGATTTTACACATAAAAGTTTGGCCTGTTATTTTGATCAGCTGGGAAAGAATCTCTTAAAACTAAGAATAATGATTTGAGATTTCCTAAAGATAATATTACATATAAATTCTTATCTTATTAACAATGTTATTTTTTATACAAAAATTATAATTTGAGTTAAAAATGAAATTTTATATTAATGTCACACAACTAACCATTACACATATGAGCATACTCAAAGACCTAACTGAACTAAATAATAAATATGTACAACAGTATTCATGGACCTATTTAAAATTCAGAATTATGGTAAGCACAAATCTATAATTCCAAGTATTGTAACACCACACCCTTCATATGGATAAACACTCTTCACTGGAATCTGGTGATAAGTGATCAATTCAGCTGTTTTGCTTGCAAAAATCTGTAGTCAAAAAACAAACCAAAAACACTAAGAAACATTCATTAAACAAGAGCATATGTTTACAGTAATGATACCATTCAAATATCAACAAGCATAACATACTTAATAAGTACAGATAGTACTTACATGTATATTAGCTTTATTACAAAATTAAATTTAAAATATAAAACAAAACACATGTCTAAGGAGAGTTGGGTGATTATTGGTTCAAGTAACTGATAGCCCCATCAATTAATTGCAATAAATTAGTACAATGTTCCTTCAACCATGGTATGTACAAGCATTAAAAAAAATGGTTAGTAGCAGGTACTGTTATCTTCTTTCTAATCAGCAATTTAACAGAAAAACAAAAAACTGGTTGATGGTAGGTGCTGCTAACCAGTTGCCTTCCTCCTAGTCAGCAGTAAAACAGCAGTGGCAGATAGCCTCAGTAACTTTACCATAACAAAATACAATGAGAAAGTTTAGTGGCAATGTTTCAATCAATTGATTGTTGGAATAATTAAAAACAGTGATAATCTATTGATTTATGTGACACAAATTACCGTAATCACTACTCATAAATAATCAATTACCTCAACTAAATTGCCCAGCTCTATGTCTTAGCTTTGATTACAACTTCAGTTCTTTATATATTCCATGCAAAATACTAGACTATGTTACACGTCAGTGAGATAGCACATGCATTTTCTCATTTTAGACATTGCATGAATCCCTGTACCTTAGGGTAAAAAATAAAAGCAGTTTTGAATAACATATTAAAAGTGCTACTTTTTGTCAAAATGAATGTAAAAACAACAGCATTATTAGATTAACTGTAACTCTAGCATCCTTCCATTGTAAACAAAACATAATTTTCAAGAAAGCATAAACAAACAGTATTAGCAATCTTCAGATCATTACAAAGAGCTGCATCAGAGAACTCCTTTTAACATAACACAAAATTTAAGGACAACAAGTGACTTGTTGGCCCATCTCGGTCATCCCATTTACGAAACTATAAAATACAAATAAAACAATCAAAGCCAGCCCTTATCATTCAAATATTTATCAAGCCATGCTTTAAACTCCTTCACATTTACTGCATCCACCACATTTACAGGCAATCCATTCCAGAAGCCAACCATCCTGTTACTGTTAGAAAAATAAATGTGGAATAACTGGAATATGACAAGGCATAGTTGTGGTCAAGGTGTTATTATCTATCAGTATCACCAATTACTTGAACAACTGTTTCAGTGTGAACTATCATTAAATTGGTGAACTATAATGTTTATTAACTTCACTTAGGTATTTACACATAAGAATTATATCTATGATTTTATTAGTACAAAATTATTATTTCACTATTTGATAAATTAGAGATAACCTTCTAGTAGTTAATAGTCTTATGTTACCTTGTTGATCCTTATATTTTAACTCTAAGTAAATGTGTTGATGTCATTACAAATGTTTCGGCTATTCCATTGTGAACAATTATTTCAGTCATCATAGAACACTATTTTACAGCTATATACATATTTCTTAATTTTAACATTTTAACTGTGTCACTAAAAGAAATAATGTTCCTTTGAGGCATCGTACGAAATATCTTAGATACTCCCATGCATTTGTTTTTCTTGGGAGAACCTGAGATCAGTGCAAACAGCAAAGGTAAGCATGTTATCCTATACTGTAAGATTAGGCCATTAGTTTAGTTTAGACTTAGTTGTACCTGTTCAATCATTTTTAATATATTTTTGTATACTGCGCCAGATTTTAGATCTTGAACGAACAGATACCGGTAAATGATACCACTCACCAAGAAACGTGTACTACTTGTCCCTTGGTCAATAGCCCCGACTAAAGGTCCATATTTCCCACTTTTAAACTTAGAAGCCATGCTTCGTAAACACGATAATTATATATACCAGCACGGCCCTAACGAGTCCAACTGGTTCACTTTATAAGTTTATTCCAAGTAGTTTGTATGCTCTGTGAAAAGCAAAACAACCAATGTAGTTAAGGTTAGCTCACACATTCTCTTCAGAAATTAATAATAATTTTACTTATACATTTTTGCCTTTCTCGTTTATTATTCTATCGTTTACACTTAAACTGAATATTATACTTTTAATAATACCTGTACAGTATTTCATTTGTGTCAAATGTTATGATCGTTATAAGATGTATCTTTTTTTTCATTCACCTATTGGCATTGCATTTATCATAATGAAATATAAACTTCGAAGAAATTATTTTGTCATCTACCATTAGAAAAACTGCAAACAACACCTGACAAGCCAAAAAGTAAAGTAGGCAGTTGCCTAGGGGCCTAAGATGTCAATTAAGGGCTTACAGTGTTATGTTTTTTCTACTAGCTTTCTCAGGTAATTTTTAAAGTTGGAAACTGTTATATTTTTAAAATATTAATTTGGTAACTAATTATTCTGGGGTATAAATTTGAAATGCAAAAAAATGTGATGGATTGTGGAAAAAGAAGAGAACTGAAATTCTCTATGGATCCATTATAGTCATAATCCGGTCGTGGCGGCAAAAGTAATTTTTTAATTAATACCCCGTGAAAACTGTCGTTTAACTCTGCCAGTTGATTATAATTGCGTTACATCGGTAATAAAAAAATGTAATGCATGCAGTATTATTGTCTGTATTTGGTTGTCTATCTTTGCCTATGGCCAGGTGGCTAGGGAGTTCGACTCGTAATCTGCGGATCGCGGGATTGAATCCCCGTCCCATCAAACATGCTCGACCTTTCAGCCGTGGGGGCGTTATGATATGACGGTCAATCCCACTATTCGTTGCTAAAAGAGTAGCCCAAGAGTTTGGTGGTGGGTGGTGATGACTAGCTGCCTTCCCTCTAGTCTTGCACTGCTAAATTAGGGACGGCTAGCGCAGATAGCCCTCGTGCTGCTTTGCGCGAAATTCAAAACAAACAAGCGCAGCTGCCTTTGTGTAAGTTTGCGTGAATACCACAAACAAGTAAGCAAGCAACCCTAATCATATATTTACTGCCTGCTATTGCAGAGTAATAAAGCTAATTTTTGTCAGCACGGTCTAGTATGCTCGTGGTTATCATATCAAAGAGCTATTAAAAATCTTAATAATAATTTATTTCGGTTATGTACTTCCTCGAAATTGCAGCTTGTCTATGACCTTATTCCTACCGCTAGACGGGATATGTCGACATCACTATAAAATGATAAATGGAGATACGTGTTCTAAATCATTGAATATGGCTGCATGATTACATGCAACATGTCCAATGATCTAATGGAAAAACTTGAAGCATTACAATATCAAACAATCTGAACAGCTCTGAGATTACCGAAATATACCCCACCTACCTACTAGATTCACTTAACGTTATACCTAGCCTTAAAGAAAGAATTATAAAATTAGCTAAAAGATATTATCAGATAGCCATTACAAGAAACTCGTTAACACGGCAATTTTCAACACTAGCCGCAACACCTAATACATGGCGCACCCACAATATTTTGTATGTAATAATTAATATGCAGTGTTATAATAATCTAAGCCGTTCCTCTCGTTTCAGATTCCTAGCTCATGCACTACCCAGATAGAATATTCGGCGTCCAGGAAGTGAAAGTGGGATTTTCTAGGGTACTCCCGTTTTCCTCCCACATCAAATATTTTGGGTATTGGATCTGTTACGCCTCTGGTCGTTAGTTAATTTTCCGTAAAAATTCTTTCCGACGAAACTTTAGCGATACAAGTCCTTTCTTAAATAAAACTGGTTTATTCTTTCTGAATACAACTTTGCAATACACTTAATTTCCACAGACACGCTATAAGAAACGCTATAACCCACAACGACCGACTCACGAGCTCGAATCAGCTGTCAGTATCTCTCTGTCTACAGTTCAATTACATTGTTGCCGTCAGTTCTTGGCGGTTTTATTTTCAAGAATACCGTACATCTAGTAAACACTCGAGGCTTCAGGAAGGGACATGA